AAAAGAGGCTCCCTTCAATTTTATTAGCTACATTACTGCTCATTCAGGGAACGAGAAGTAAGAATTTTAAGGCATTTCTCTCTGTTTTCAGTATATCCTCTCTGGATACTCTATTCCTGGGACTTGTGAATATAGACTAGGAAAAAAAGCCTAAGTTAGCTTTTTTTTAAAAAAAAAATTATGTTATTAAATGAGATTTCCAAGCACCTGATTTCACCTAGTCTTATCAAACTATGGCTATTACTTTTTCAATATGCATTCTGTCTCTCCTGTATGAAGGCCACAGGCCCACTGCCCCCATGTCATTAAGATGGAGGTCCGGGTGTGGTGGCTCACGCCTATAATCCCAGCACTTTGGGAGGCTGAGGGGGGCAGATTACAAGGTCAGGGATTCAAGACCAGCCTGGCCAATATGGTTAAACCCTGTCTCTACTAAAAATACAAAAATTAACTGGGCGTGGTGGCATGTGGTGTAGTCCCAGCTACTCTGGAGGCTGAGGCAGGAGAATCATTTAAACCAGGGAGGTGGAGGTTGCAGTGAGCTGAGATCATGGCACTGCATTCTAGCCTGGGCAACAGAGTGAGAATTCATCTAAAAAAAAAAAAGGAGGGGTTCCTCAAGTGATGGGGGATGAGTCACCACTGACTTGCCACCTGCAAGAATATCTGTCACTGATACCTTTCCTTATGTTTCGTAGCAGCTGTTAAGCTCCCACCTTATTAATGGCAACACTTTTGAGTGTTCAAGAGAGAATGGGATTTACTTTTAGGATGCCTCTAAGTGACTATGGCACATTCATTTGGAATTGCATATTAGAACATTCTTCCTGTTTATCAGGAAAATAAGCCAAGGGATTGAAACTTGATGTCTATCCATAGTTTGCCCAATATTATTTTGCTTGGGATTTATTACATTATTTTTCTCCATTGGTTATGAACTGTAGGCATCTTATGGACATGTATTCCACGCTGAAAAAGCAGTTAGCTGCTGGGTGGTAAAGTTGAGACCAGTATATTGAAAGAAGAGAGACACTCCATCTAATAATCTTTTATAGTCTTCACATTCATTGAGAAGGTTGATTGATAACCTTTCCTGGACACTCTCCCCCAACCCTGACCCAGGAACTTGCAGAGCACACTGTGCAACAGATGTAATAACCCTTGTCTGCAGACAATATGCACAGCTGGGAAAGATAATTAAATAGACTCTTTTCGAGAGGTCTACAACATTTCAACAGAAGGATCAAGCAATCCTGCTGGCCTCCGACTGAAAACTATTACCAACAGACATACTTCAGACAGATTTCATAATCGCCTTATTTACGTGGCACAAGTGCTTATGGGGAGCTTCTTTGGCTTCCAAAAGGCCACTAAAACTGTCAGATCTAAATAATACTGAAACCGTAAAGTGGGAATTAAAAATTATAATTCCATTTAATATGTAAAGTTGCCATCAGAAAGAGGGCTTTTGGTTTTCCATATTGATTGGTTACATGGTCAACTGCAGTTCTGAGAACTCATGAGACACCCCCAGATCTCATCGTGTGTGATTCTTTTTGAGGTTTATATAGATTATTGAGGTTTAAATAAGGTGGGATAGATTTCCTTATGGGTGGCAATATTACATATAGCAAATGTCATGAGAGAAGATAAAAAGCCTCCCTTTTGAATGTTAACATTTCTGCAAACAAGTTTAATTTACAGTGTAAGTTTACGTTACTATTATGAGACTTCACCTGAAAGATTGGGGTGAAATCTAGGGGGAAGTGCGGGGCCAGGGGAGGGATAGTATTATGTAAATGATGGGTTGATGGGTGCAGCAAACCACCATGGCATGTGTATACCTATGTAACAAACCTGCACATTCTGCACATGAATCCCAGAACTTAAAGTATAATTTAAAAAAGGAAAAAGAAAGATTGGAGTGAAATCTTAAAGAATTATGAAATTAAGAAATGAAACCCAGAGGGCTTTCATTTATAGTACTGCTGACTTAAACTAAAATGAGTTTGGTTTGTCCTATTAGATTGTGGGTATTGAGAAAGGAGCATTTACTGCTTCATAGGACATGTTTCCTCAAGAGCAAGGCAAGTTCCCTTTGACCCAGTACATTCCATAGGTAAATCACTGTACACTGTAGAGATGCCTGTTCCCTCCCTGCCCTTACCCTTTGGGGATTAGAAACCAAATCATTGCTTTTTCATCTTTTACTTTTTCTTATGAACAAAGCCACCCACTTTCTCATTTTTCCAGATGCCGAATCCTGCTTTATATGAGTGGAATCCACTCTTTCCAATGGAAAGACACTTGCTCTGAGACAGGCTATTCTATCATGAGCCTTGCATGGCTCAGTGATGTAGTGGAAGGTGCAATAAATTTAAACTTTACAAAAAGCAAAATTTGACAGGATCATGCATCTTGTGCTTACAATGTGTATATGGCCTAGCAGAATTTACAGACACATGCATAATTAATTTGAATACAGTATAGCAAAATGATCTGTTAGAAAACAAATGAGAAGATGTGCAACATTATTAATCATTAAGAAAATGCACATAAAACCATAGTGCCAGTGTGATACCTCTGTATATCTATTATAATGTATAAATTTTCTCTCTCTCTTTTTTTTTTTTTTGAGATGGAGTTTCTCTTGCTGCCCAGGCTGGAGTGTGGTGGCATGATCTCAGCTCATCACAACCTCTGCTTCCCAGGTTTAAGCAATTCTCCTGCCTCAGCCTCCCTAGTAGCTGGGATTATAGGCATGTGCCACCAGGCCCAGCTAATTTTTTGTATTTTTAGTAGAGACAATGTTTCTCCATGTTGGTCAGGCTGGTCTTGAACTCCTGACCTCAGGTGATCCATCCACCTCGGTCTCCCAAAGTGCTGGGATTACAGGCATGAACCACTGCACCTGGCCAAATGTATAAAATTTAAAAGACTGACCATACTAAGCATTGGTGAAGATGTAGAGCAACTGGTGCTTTCATGTATTGCTGGTCAGAATGTAAATGGCACAACCACTTTGAAAACAGTTTGACAGTTTCTTAAAAAGTTAAATATACACCTGGCATAATATATCCAGATATCCTACTCTTATGTATTTAATCAAGAGAAATAAAAGCATATGTCCGTACAAAAACTTGTATAAAAATTGCTTGTAGCAGCTTTATTTGTAACAGCCAAAAACTAGAAACAATCTGAATGTCCAATGAAAGGATACATTATATTCATTTATGGGATATATCCATGCAATGGAATACCATTTAGCAATAAAAAGAATCAACTGTTCATACGTGCAACCACATGGATAAATCTTAAAATAATTATGCTGAGTTAAAGAAGTCAGGCAAAAAGGTAAAAGAGTGTTAGGAACTAAATTAGTGTGTCAACAGTGGCAATGAAAAGGAGAAAATTATAGTAACCTCAAAGAATTGATGAACTTTGATTATGAAATGATAAAAAGAGAGGGAGCGTAGACTTTGAGGTCTGTCTCTAGCTTTGGTTTCCCGATGTGGATCATTACGTATTTGGATATAACAATTATCTGAAAGATGATACTTAAGCATGTAAGAAATGATAACTACCTGTTTATCATGCTGAGTTTTTGTTACCTCCAAGACCCACAAGAAGAAACATCCTGTAGGCAGACCATTCATACTTGACTGTTAAAGGAAAGCAAAATTCCATCTTGTCTTTTCTATCAACACAAATATAGCTAATAGAGTAATAGCAAACAGTGTAATATTTGTGAGAGAAAAAAGAACAAGCACACACATACGCTCAGTGGGATTCCTAGAGCCATTCTCATGGATAAGAGAGAAGAAAGGGTTGAGGGCAAATAGAGAAAGGAGGAAAATAGACTATGGCGGGATGCCTTAGGGCAAAAGAATAGGGGACTGACTTGGAAGGTGCAATCTTTATGGATACTTGATTCATTTATTGTCCCTGTCACTCTGACATATCTTAATGGGTGTGGTGTGTGATTTATTTAGTCACTTGATCCAAATTCTCGAATTAAGTGGAGCTCAGAAGAGATAGTGTCCATTGTGGTCAAGGCACATGTTTTGGCTTCAACAGACAAATCAGCTCTCTGAGCATCTGTCTTCTTATCTGTACAATGGCCATATTAGTTCCTACCTCTTCAGGTTGTTGCATTCATAAATAATTGTGCACAAGAAATATTAGGATTGCTTCTAACCCATAGTAAGGGTTCAACAAACTCTTCTTCCTCCTTGTCTTCTTCTTCCTTTTCCTTTTGTTCTTCCTTCTTCCTTCTTTTTTTCCTTCCTCCTCATTATTATTATTAGTTAACTACAATAATATCAGTTAATGATTGGAAAAAGCTTTAATCTCTTAGTTCACCATTAGAAAACAAGAACACATTTTAGTGGTTATTACCCTAAGTAATCATAATGTCACCTTTTTTTTTCATCTGACTCATTCTCCCAAGTGATTTATTTATATACGGTGTTTTATGAGTCTTTCTTGTACATGTTACAGAAAATGAGTGTGGCTTAGGGATAAAGCAAAGAAATAGAAATTTAGTGACTTTCATTCTGCCTGTGCTCCAATTCCTGTTTGGTCTAAGGCAAGTAATTTAAATTTCTTGCACCTTAGCATCTTCTACTCAAACAGAAATGAGGAACAGTCACAGAGTGCTATCAGAAGTGACTAAGTAGAATGTACACAAGTTTTCACACTGAGTATAACTCTATATAGAAAGCTAAGTGTGTTGCTCAAGTTGGTACATTTCTGTAGATGTAACACTATGGCACCAAGAAACTTAATGCCACATTGAAATTCATTGAGATAGCTAGATTTAAAAATTACTTGACTTTACTAAAATTAATTACTTGACTTTACTAAAAAATATGTTTGTATTGCATTTACTCCATCTAGTAGACAATAGACCTTGTCCGTTCAAATCTCTGTTGCATTAATTTCACTAGTAATGAGTCTTTTTCATTTGAGTCAGCAGGGTTTTTCTTGCTTGTTTTCAGGCTTTGTGGATTTGACCCTCCATGATCAGGTCCACCTTCTAGAATGTGCCTGGCTAGAGATCCTGATGATTGGTCTCGTCTGGCGCTCCATGGAGCACCCAGGGAAACTCCTGTTTGCTCCTAACTTGCTCTTGGACAGGTAAGTGACCTGGCTGCAGCTTAGGAGAAGCATGTTCTTTATGATCATCAGTTCATTCAGAAATGATTTTATTCATCCCTCTGTGAAGCTTCAGAGAACTTTATTAGGTATGTTTACTTGACAAATGGGTGCACTGGGGATGATTAGGTTAGTCAAATTCACGGAAAGCTAAGGATAACTTTCTGTTAGACATCGCCTCAGAAGAACTCTATTATTTCTGATACACACACACACACACACACACACACACACACAAACACACACTCATCATGAATGGTAATTTTCTAACTCCATCTTCAACTTGTGTCATATAAAAATAATATAATCTCTCTTTAATTAAAATCTATTTTTGCTTCTTGTACATTCAAACCACAATAACATGTTCATTTTCTTCTCCAATTTTCCCATCAGAAAAGCAAGGAAATTGACCAGAGAGTTCTGAAGGTTACTTCCAAGTAGAAAAATTCATTTTAGTTTTAAAATATGTTACCTTTTTTAACATACCATTCTGGGGTTGCCTCAGAACGTGGGTGCCATTTTTTTTTCAATCATTGCTTAGAGCAATAGAATTTACATATTACTTAATAGCAGCTGCCACTGATAGAGCCTCCACCCTGCACCAGCTGCTATGTTAAATGCTTTACATACATTGTCTCATTTAATCACCAGACTAAATCACCAGACTCCTAGGAGACAGGAATTTCATCATCCACATTTTACGAGAAAGAAAAATAAGTCGCAGAGACATCCTGCTACCTGCAAAAAGCAGAAAACTCGCTAATGGTGGAACCAGAGTTCAAATTCAAGATCTTTCTGGCTCTGGTATGCTCTATACCTCCTGTCCTGGGCACATGATCTTTCCACTCTTTCATGTTCGGTGATGCCTCCTTTGGTTTGCTGCCACAGCATTCTGTTTTCCAGGTAAATCTTGTCTTTGTGGGCTACATAACATTTTGGACAAGAAAAGAATCATTTTGTTGTTTCTTGCAATCCTATTTTTGCCTCTGTGCCCAGCAGTCTAAGGCTGCCAGGCGGCTCACAGTGCATCTCTGCATGATCCTTTACTTCAGAGCATTTCACTGTCTTTCTACACTTGCCAAGTGCCTGGAGCAGAGTTGCAGCAAAATTTATTTAACTACCGGAGAATTGTTCAAGGTGTTGGTTATTGTTTTGTCTTTTTGTGTTAACACAGCTTTTGAAAAACAGTGGTGATATGGTTCAAGAAGCAGATTTTGCTGTCTGTAGAATATATTTTGATATCACAGTTTCACAAAATTATCAAGAATGGCCACTAGTCTTATTCCTTAGAACTGTACTCACAATGTATTCTGTCAGCCTTCTAGAGGATGCCTTTACTCTGTTCTTTCCTTTACATTCCTTGTTTTCCTTGCCATTTTTTCCTATCTTGTTTCTCTTCTCTTTTCCTTTGCTTTCCTCTTTTCTTCCTCCTCCTATCCTCCTTTTTTTTTTTTTTTTTGGCCTTATAGCATTGTGGGTTTGTAACCAAGTTATATAAAGTTTGCAGATGAAAATATTAGACCTCAAGTAATATTTCCCTGCCTATTGCCTGGAATATATCTACCATGTTTAGGTTTTTGGGCATTCATAACTCATTTGCTCCTTGATTTCCATCCTCATCTGTATCTATCTTCTTTTTTTTTTAATTTAATTGTTTTTAAAACATTGACACAATTGTGCAGATTCATGGGGTACATAGTGATATTTTGATACATATAATGTGCGGTGATCATATCTATCTTCTGCATACACACCTGCTTGAGAACAGTCATCAAATAATTGCATTTTGAATATGTAAAGATGTTTGACATTACTGTACCTAACAAACTCATATTGCCAATGAGATGATATGGCCTAGAATTTTATCAGCTACAGCCTTCTGTTTCTTTTCTGTATACTCCAGTGGTGGCTAATTTTCTTCCCCATCTCTCACAGATGTATGAATGACTAAAAGCTCTTAAGCCTATTCATTTCTACTTTCTAAAACTTTAGATTGGAAGTTTTAAATCCTTCTAGACCAGGATTTGTCAATCTCTTTGCTATTGACATTTTGGGCCAGATCATTCTTTCTTGGTTGAGGGGTGATATGATTCTTCCTTGGTTGAGGGGTGATATGATACAAATCTCAAATTATAGCTCCCATCATTCCCATTTGTCATGGGAGGGACCCAGTGGGAGGTAATTGAATCATGAGGGCAGGCCTTTCCCTTGCTGTTCTTATGATAGTGAATGTCTTATGAGATCTGATAGTTTTATAAAAGGGAGCTTCCCTGCACATGCTCTCTCTCTTGCCTGTTGCCATGTAAGATGTGACTTTGCTCCTTCTTCCACCATGATTGTGAGGCCTCTCCAGCCATGTGAACTGTGAGTCCATTAAACCTTTTTCTTTATAAATTACCCAGTTTTGCATATGTCTTTATTAGCAGCTTGAGAACAGACTAATACAAGGGGCTGTCTTTTGCATTTTGGGATGTTTAGCAGCATCCCTGGACTCTATCAGCTAGATGCCAGCAGCAACCTCCACTTCCTCCAGTTATGATAACCAACAATGCCCCCAAACATTTCTAAGTATCTTCTGTTGTGTCAGGTGGTGGGGGAGGCAAAATTGTCCCTGGTTGAGAATCATCACTCTAAGCTTTTCCAACTCAGTGTTCTATAAGCTCCTCAGACACACCATGCTTTAAATTGAACACCTTGTCTTCCTCAGCAAGTCTGTTCCTTTTCTTTTACTTTCTGTCTTGGTGACATCAACATTCACCTAGGCACTAAAGCCAGAAGGTTTACATTACCCATGGATTATACCCTGTCCCTCACCAAATTATCCAGTCAACTATCAAGTCATCTATGAACCACTCTGAATCCAGACCTCTCCTGTATCCCCATTCTTCTGCATGGCACAGGTCCTGGTTGTCTCTGCCCCAGATTCCTTGCTTCTGCACCACTGACTCACTTTCTTGGTCCTGCCCCTTTTTCTTTCAGTCCATTTCCCGTAGCACTGCTGGAGATGACTTTCTAAGCACAGCTGTGATCATGATGCTATCTGACTCACCTTTCAGTGACTCTTTCAATTCTCAACATGGAGAAAACCCGTCTCCACTAAAAATCCAAAATTAGCCAGGTGTGATGGAACATGCCTATAATCACAGCTATTCGGGAGGCTGAGGCAGAAGAATTGCTTGAACCCAGGAGGTGGTGGTTGCAGTCAGCCAAGATCATGCCATTGCACTCCAGCATGGGCAACAGGAGCAAAACTCCATCTCAAANAAAAAAAAAAAAAAAAAAAAAAAAAAAAAAAAAAAAAAAAAAAAAAAAGAAAAAGAAAAGAAAAGAAAAGAAAAAAGAAAATACTGTGTAGACTTCTTATCTTTATAATCATGAATTTCTATCACAAGTGTCTCAAACACAAATTTCTGAAGAGTCATAGGTGACCCAGTGAGCTCTTGTCTAGGCTAAAAACACCTGGTGACCAAATTCAGAACTTCACATGTTCAAATTTCTCTTCCATTGCTTCTGAGTGACCTGCCACCATTAGGCTTCCTTATCAAAAGCATATCCACCTGTAAGGCTCATTTCATGTGCCCTCTTTTTATAAAACCTTCCTTCAAACTTTATTCTCTTCAGCCTTTATATATATGTGTTTGTTTGTGTGTATATATATATATATATATATATATATATATATATATATATATATATATGGCTTTTCTCTCTACTCTTAGTTCTAAGTTCCTATTGTGGTTGGTTTGCTCTTCTTTTTATTATCCTCATTCTGCCATTTTAGTTATAATTGGATGTCTTCTCTTCCCTACTAGCTCATAAACTTCTTGTGGTCAGGAACCAGATCTTGTTCATCTTGTGTGATTTCCAGTTTATGAAGTCTTCCATGATACCCAACAAATGTTTGTTAATTGCACTGGCCAAGGTCATCCAGGTGGCTTGTGGCTAAATCAGGAGAAGAATCTACATCTTCTGGTAGTCATGGCAGCTGTTACTCTCATCCAGCTCACTTCTTGTGCATTACTACTCATCAATTCCTGGCTTATTCCTTTAAAAACTTTGCAGACATTAATATCTATATGTTTTGGAAAGATTTTCTTAATTTATAAGTGCATTTGGTATGTGCTTATACCCCTGCTTATATGCCACCAATCTGTTAGGCGACTTTGAAATTCCAAATGGGGAAAAGCAAAGGCCCTTATCTTTCCTATAACAAAACCCCTTATGAAGTAAAATTCTTAAGGTCTCACTACATGTAAGAATATTAGATGATATGATTTGGTTGTGTTCCCACCCAAATCTCACCTTACATTGTAATAATCCCTAGGTGTCAAGGGTGAGGCCAGGTGGAGATAATTGAATCACGTGAGTTGTTTTCCTCATACTGTTCATGTGGTAGTTAACAAGTTTCATGAGATCTGATGGTTTTATAAATGGGAGTTCCCCTGCACAAGTTCTCTTGCCTGCCACAATGTAAGATGTGACTTTGCTCCTCCTTGCCTTCTGCCATGATTATGAGGCCTCCCCAGCCATGTGGAACTGTGAGTCAATTAAACCTCTTTCTTTTATAAATTACCCAGTCTCAAGTATGTCTTTATTAGCAGCACAAGAACAAACTAATACATTAGATATATGTTAATGATGAGTAATGTGTAAAAATACATACACATTTATATTTAAATATAAGTGATATTTACAAATAGCATAAGATATTAAAAATATAATCTATAATTTTTTAAATTATCTACTTTTCTAATCATTAACATGCACTAAATATTATTAAATTTCAATATTATTTAATTACCATCTTGGTGTTTGAGGATAACTGCTTTTGATGACATTGATAGATGCATAACAGTAAAACATTGTGACCAACAGCCCATCTGAGATTTTACACATGTGGAAGATGGCTTTTGAGTGACAGCTGAAAACACTGTTTATGTCTTTTCCCTACAGGTTCCCAATACCTTTAATAAAATAGAGCT